TTTTGTTCCACATTGTTCTCCCTCTCTATCCAGGATCTCCCACATGATCCCCCTCGGAGTGGTTGACAGTGGTAACTGGGCACCATCTAGTTCTTCTGGTCTCATAGTTGTATAGGCTGTGGACTGCATGATGTACCAGTTGCTAGGACTAATTGTTTCAATGAATCTTTAGTTTTCTTCATTCTTCTTTGCTCTGGACGAGGAGAGACCCATCGTTGCATCTAGATGGCTGTTTGTAAGCTTGTAAAATCCAAGTTGCTACTCGCCAAAGTAGGAGGTAGAACAATGTTTTGTGTAGTATGTTATGCCAGTTGAGCTTGATGTCCCCCATGACTATAGTCCCAAGCCCACAAGTTCAACTACTCTGTCCCTCTGGGTAGCTGGCTGTGACCAAGAAGTGACTATAACCTTGTCCCTTGTAAGCTCTACTATACACCTGGCAATTCAGATCATACACATAAACTTATAGGACCATTGTCTGCCAATCCTATACATGGTCTTGGGTACACTCCCCATTTCATAGACATACCTAATAGTTCAGCCTGTCCACCCATCTATCCACCCATATATCCATGTTTGCCTGTACTGACAAAGCAGTATTGTATGTGCAAAAGGGTTCTTCTTTGTTTTCTGTACCTCCCATGTACCTTTCTATGTCTTCTTCTTCCTCAGTGCCACCATGCTGATCACTCACATTTGGTATATTGCCCTTCTCTTCTCCCAAATCAATACTTATCTCTACCTATCTAACAGTGTTCCCTCCCTTCGCCTCCCACCCCTGGTAACCTACAAAGAAAATTTCCTTCCATAGATAAACCTTTCCTTGACTTTTACAATAACAGACTAATACAATACTTGTCCTTCTGTGATTGACTTATTTCACTCAGCATAATGTCCTCCAAGTTCATCCATGTTATGTGGTGGTTTGCAGATTCCACATTATCCTTTAGGGTTGCATAGTATTCCATTGTGTGTATGTGCCATAGTTTGGTTATCTATTCCTCAGTTGATGGACACCTAGGTTGTTTCCATATTTTGGCTATTGTAAATAGTTCTGCGATGAACATGGGTGTGCATATATGTCTGTTCTTGTCATGGCTCTCACTTCTTTAGGATATATACCTAGTAATGGAATGCCTGGGTCAAATGGTATTTCTAATTCCAACTTTTTAAGAAATCACCATACTGCTTTCCACAGTGGTTGTACCATTTTACAGTCCCACCAGCAGTGTAGGAGAGTCCCAATGTCTCCACGTCCTCGCTGGCATTT